CCCTCGGCCTCCATTCTCTCCCTCGCGTCTGATCTTTTGAGCTGGACCAGCCAACGGAGCTCTAGCTTCTGAGTTACCACCACCATCCTCAGTATCTAGGGAGTCTACCACCCTCTGATCACACTGTGAACACCTGAATCACTGAAGCAAGATTAGAACTTGCCAGAAGGAATTATTAAGAATTTAATAAGAGCCCTGGCCGGTGTAGCTCAGTGGGTTGAGCGCGGGCCTGTGAACCAAAGGGTCGAGGTTCTATTCCCAGCCAGGGGGTTGCAGGCCAGTTCCCAGCGGGGGACACACTAGAGGCGACCATACATTGATGTTTCTCTCCCTCTCTCCTTCCCTTCCCCTCTAAAGACAACTAAATAAAATCTTTTTAAGAAGTATTTAGTAAGAGAAATCTTTCTACAAAGGAATAGTCCCTGGTGAGTTTACAGAGGGCAGGTCTGAGACCCAAAGACAACCTGGTGCTATTTCCTCATTCCTTCATTTCTTTCTTCATTCACTTAGGGCAGGATACCTCAAAGTTTCCACCTTCATGGGACCCTTAGATTTCCAGTAATTTTATCCACAGTACTCCAGGACAATATATATATATGACAGTCTCTTTTAAGTTATCTTACCTAGGACCAACATTCAAGTGGGGTTTAGGGCACTTTTGGATTCCACACCCATTTATTCTGCAAATATGGATTGAGTATCTACTGTGGATCAGGCACTATTATAGGTGCTATGGGGACATAAAATTGATGCAAGTTGTTTAATGGGTATAAAATTTCAGGTGCACAAGATGAAAAAGTTACAGAGATCTGTAACTTTGTTTCACAACAATGTGAATACACTTAATACCACTGAACGCTACACTTAAGCATGGTTGAGATGGTAAATTTTATGTTATGTGTTTTTTTTTTAAATCACAATTTTAAAAGTGCCTGCCCTCAGGAGGGTTTCCATTTAAACTGGAGAGAATCATCTGTATAGGACCAATCATAACACATGTGGTAATAAATACCAATCGGGATGATTCCCAGCTCACAACAGTGACCCTACTTTGGAAACAGCCCCAACCACAGAGGTAGGCCTGAAGTAATGATGTTCAATGTCCTTGTAACTTGACCCTGACCTCTGGCCACCTTGGAGGAATAGACAATTGATCTAAGTTGTATCAGTTTTTGAATGGAGTTGTCAGAGCCTGGAGCTACTTGAAGCTGTACCTTAGTGGTAGTGCGCATTGTCTCTAGTTACTGAGGCCCCCAGAGCTTCCTGCCCTCTCCGAGGCCAAGCTGGTTAACTCCATCTTTGGTTCTCAGGGCTACTGACTGACAAACCTTTCCAATACCTTCCCCTGTTTACTGAAGTTAGCCACAATCATTGTCTGCTGTTTTCCACAGAATAACTTCAGTTAAAACCAAACCAGAAGTGCCCCTTCTGGGAAATAAAAGTTGTCATTTTCTTTTTATTGTCATTGTATTACAGTTACCCCAATATTTCTTTCTTTGCCCTTCTCTGCCCACCCTACCTCAAAAGCAGTCAATTTCCACAAAGTAAGTTTAAGTGTAATGAGAAAGAGTAAAATTGTTTTCATCATTATGCTCCCCCCAAAATAAATATTAATTACAATAGTCAGTTGAGGACTTGCTGGTGATAGAGGAGGGCAGGTTTTCAGTGGGAAAATAACATAGGTGGTTCATTGGTTAATTTATAGATTATCAGGGCAAACTCTTGGCCCATAGCAAACACTTCACCGTGAAGGAGCTGCTTGTTGCTTGTTATAGGCACGAGCTATTTTCCTCCTAGATGGATGAAGTGGGGGGGGGGGACGGGGAGAAAGGGGTAGTGTGTGTAGGCCTAGCTATGCAGGATTCCTCCCACATTCCCTGGTCGTTATTATGTTACAAAACCTCCCTTGTCTAAAAAGATTGAAAAAAAGAAGATGGAGGAGGCTGTGGCTGTAAGCGGAGGTTGCCACTGTCCCTCTGGCAGCCTGTGCTGGGGCTGACTGTGAGGAAAAAAGACGCTGTGCATATTGGATGAGAGAAGGCAGCAGCCCAGGAAGCTGCCTCTTGGGAAATGATGCAACTAGATCGAGATTGCACTACAATTTGTAGCAAAAGATGGCCCCAGCGTGGGGACCAGGGATCACTGCAACCTGAGGGGCGGTTGACCCAGAGGGGACAGGGAGAGGCGCCTTAATGACTGCGAGGTGCAGGCTGTGTCCCTGCAGATGGGAAGGGGAATCTGTTCACCCAGCAGGCCTTTTCTACCCAGCGCCAAGCACGGAACCACTCCTAACCGAGCTCAGTAAATGTTCTCCGAACATGGGATGCAAGGGCGGAGAGAAGGAGGAGGTCAGACGACGCAAAAGGCAGGGCCAAAGGCCCCAGAGGACGCTGAAAAAATTCAGGCTTGGGACCCAGGAGAGGCCTCGAAAACCTCGCGGATTTCCAGGCAGGAAGTCAAAGGGCAGGCGCTGAGTAGCTCGTGGGCTACGAAACTGGCAAGGACGAAGTGACCCTGACAGATTCAGCGGTCCAGGACCGAAGTTACCGGGGGAGCTGACCTGAGACGTAGGTTCCAGGCTCAGGTAGGGAGGATGAATTGTATTTCAGGCTTTCGGCTCTAAAGCCGTTGCCCGGGAGACGGGAAGGAGGTGGAGCCAAGCCTGACTGACAGAGACCACAGCAGGGGCAGAACTCTGCTTCTGATTGGCTATGTCCTAGAGGAGGGGCTTACCTTTGGCTGACAGAGTCCAGGGGCCGGACTGGCTTAAGACGGACAAGCTTGATTGGGAGGAAAGAGGCGCTTGGCTCTGACCGGCAGGGCTCTAGACCCCGTGGGGCTAGGGAGGTGCCCACAAGGCCCGAATGAAGCTATCCCTAACTAGTAGGGACTAACCTTAGAGACTAACCGGTCCCTTAAATACTGGCCTCATTAGTCCCAATGATCCTGGAAAAGAGCAGAATACATGGCCCCCTTCCTATGGCCAGGCTAAGCCAGGGCTCCAGAACCAAGCCATTTTCTCATTAGACCTTACGTAGGGAGATAAGGAGGTTTGTGGACTTTGTTAAAAATGGGCAGGGTGGGGGCTCTGAAGCATGAGAGGCCAGGAGAGGGAAAGAAGGCGGGGGAGGGAGGCCGAGGACACAGATGCAGACTCCCAGGGGAGGTTCCTGAGCATTATTAGGAAGATGAGGAGAGGCCCAAGAATGGGGCGGATTACTTTCCATTGCGAAAAGTGCTACCTCTGCTCAAATGCTCACTTCCAAGAAAAAGTCTAAGCACACGAAGGCAGTTTGGAAATTGTACCTGGCTAGGATTTACCCCTAGAGAGCCTGTGAAGTTCGCCTCAAGCTTATTTTTTGCTTTGAGGGGCTGGTGTGGACTTAGGAAAGCACTCCTTCCTAACGGGTCCACTGGTGCCCGGCCAGTCTTCCCTCTGACATGGTTTAGTGTTGTCTGCAGAAAACAGACAATTCTGTTATAAAATGTTCTCACAATTTTGTTTTACAGAGATTCCTGCCCTTCACCCCCCCCAGTGGGTTTATCTTGCATAGATTTTCCAATAAAAGTGCAAGGCCTATTTTTCAAGAGGACTGCCAAAGGCCAAAGTTGTAACTGCAGAAAGAGGCTTCAAGAATTGACCCAGGGCTCCAGAGGGCTTGGTGGGAGGCTCTGGTCCAGATCGGCAGAACAGGATGGAACTGAAACTGGTTCTCTAATCAAGAATGGGAACCTTTGCTTATACTCCTTCAGCTATAAAACCCTCAATCTTGGAAACTCCTCAGTGACTTTAGTAAGAAGATCCATGTGCACTTGTGGGCCTGTCAGTTTTGCTGTCTTGAAATGTCAAAGGGACTAGGAGGATGACTTCAAGTTTGGCTAGCAGCTGGCAGGTGAAGAAGCATACCACAGTGGCTTCGGTTACACAGCTTCGCTTTAAGTCTGCCTCCACCGCCTCCTAGCTGTGCAGCCGTGGGCAACTTTCTTAATGTCTTTAAGTCTGTGTCTTTTTTAAAGAATGGGCACATGTCTGGCCTCACAGGACTGCTTGTGAGAATCAAAAGGAATAATGGATTTAAAACACTTTGCCTCATTAAGCCTGGCACTACACAGCAGAACTCAGTGACCAGTGGCTGGTGTCACTCCCACTACCCAAACAGTAAACTTCTACACCCCAGGAGGACTGAGGGAGTCCAGGCCAAGGCAGCAGGTTTGCTTCAGGCTGCTGTGGGACCATTCAGCCCTAAAGGTTTCTCCCCACCACCTAGTGTGAGAGCTTTGAGTTGTAAAAAGGAAAATGAGAGGTATTTCCTGCAGGGAGTAGGAAATGGATTTTAATATAGATTCATTCATGTTTACTCTTTTGATTTTTCCAAAGCTGAGACAAAGGGTAAGACAAGTAACTATAAACTGTGTAGTAATAGCTCCTCTCACCAGCTGTACATTGGCATGAACTTTTGGTCTCATCTCTCCCAGAAAAAAAAGTGGGGGGAAAGGTTACCTAAGCAGGGAGGGAGTGGAGAGCCCTGGGATAGAGGGAGGGGCTGTTAAGTGGCAAATGGTCCCCGCCAGACTTGTTCCCCTGTTGTATCAGTAGGGGCATGGAGGGCAGTCCTTAGCTCTCTAACCTTTCCCTCTGCAGGGGACCTGATGCTACCACCCCATGCCAAGGGCTCGAAGGGAACCAAGAAGTCCAGAGGCTGGGTAGGTATGTAGGTGTGTGAATCAGCACCCCTAGTGAAAAAGGAAATGAAGACTCCATCTGCTCAGACAATTCAAGGTGGAGGCATCTACCTACCTACATTCCCTCTCCCTTAGTACTCAGGGTGCTGATGGACTGATTTTCTAATCTCAGAGCGCCCTCTGCTGGGGGCTGAGGCTCCCTACAGGAGGGGAAGGAAGAGACTAAGGCTTGGACTTGATGGAGAAAGAAGGAAAGGCCACAGGTAGGAGGCTCTTCCTGGGCACTCAAGACCTGGAATCAAGTAAAGATCAAGAAGTAGACAGGTTTTCAGTTTATTGAGTAACAATGGCATCATAGCTTTTATTATTGGTGGCAAGATGGTTGGGGGAGCAGGAAAGTGCTCGTGGGGGGCCCTGCTGGGACCTGCTCCCCGCTGCTTCAGCCCGAGGTCGTGGGAGCTGGAGTCAGGGTCCAACTGTGTACTCTTAGTTTACCAGCACACACTCCATCCCAAAGCCTGCCTCCCCTTTGGACCAGCCATGAACGCCTAGCCTCGCCTCCTCTTGAGGGCGTGGATGGGGGTGGGAGCAGGGCCAACCCTCTAGAAAGAAGAGCTAAAGTGGGATTCTGCTGAATGTCTAAGAAGAGTCCAAGGGACACAAAATTCCCTGTCTTAAGACTGTCCACTCAGGGCCGTAGTTGCCCTTGAGAGTATACTAGCTCCACCCATTCAGATGCCTGTGGAGTTGAAGCTCTGCTCCCACAGCTGCGTCCCTCCGTAAGAAGGTACGACGGGAGCTCTGAAAGAGGAATGGAATGTTTCTCTGCCTGTGTGGCTTTTGGGTGGAGGGAGAGGGTTGGGGTTGTAGGTTTAGATTTGAGGTTATCATGTCAGATGGACCAAGACTCCCAGGATTGTGCCTGAAGACACCCACACTACAGTGGAAGGGTGGATGGGGAGATTGCAAGAGCCGAACAGAATACTGACGTTCCTTTGTTCTAGTAGAGAAGCAGAGACAAAGTAATCTATTCTAGGATGTGGGGGATGACATAAGCCCCCTGCCTCCTTTAGCCTGGCATGTCTTTCTCTGCCAGCCCTGTTCTTGTGTCAGCTTTGGGAGCCAGGAGGCAGTAATCTGAAGGATTCAGGACAGTTTGGTTTGCGAGTATCCCTCAGTCTGTCCTGAGATCCCTGGGCTTCTATGTCCAGAAGGGGTGAGGTGCTGTCAGAAATGAGTTGGCCAGTGGAACTAAGTTCCATAGCCTGGGCTGGCTGGCAGGTGGCAGGAAGCCAAAAGGAGAAGCCAGATATCAGGACATTCCAGGACAGCATGTACACACACACATATCACATATGCATATATGAAAACGATAGCACAGGAGAAAGGGATTATGTGACCCTTCTCTTTGGAATCAAAGGGGAGAGAAAAAGGCTTATTGGGGTACCTCCCCCTGCCTAGCGGATTGCTGGTCTCAGTGGCTGCTCCCCACCAAGCCCGCAGCCCAACACCAGGCAGAAAGAAAGTGGCAGGACGGCAGGGCTCGACTAACGCAGCAGCCCAAGGAGGTGAGGGAGGGCCGGGGCTGACTCTCACTCACAGCCCTTTGTTGTAGTAAACCACTTCAGTGCTGGGGTTTTGCTGATGGATCTGAGCCCTCAGCTCTGGCTCCAGCCTGCTCACATGTATGGAGCTGCAACAAAACACAGGCAGGCTGAGCGTCCCCTGAAGCCAACCGCCCTCAGGCTAAGGGATCACCATCCCTCCTCTTCCCAAGCTGAAGACTCTCCATCTAAGAGCGAAGGCCCAGATCACTGTCACCCCAACCCCCACCCCCAGAATAAGCTGAACACCTGCCAGGCCGCTTCCTGGAACACAGTGGAGGATGCTAACGTCGGCTGGCCCCAGAGACATGGAAACCTGACCAGAGACTGCAGTCAGGCCTGAGGGGCCACACTTACCTTCTCTGCGGGAACAGGGCACAGCACAGCGGGGTGGCAAATACCAGGCTGGGGAGAAGAGTGTTGGAGAAGTTTGTGGAGCTGTGGCCTCAGGGTGTTCCCTCCCTGCATCCCACCCCATTTCTGGGCACTGCCCCTAGGGGTGGAGGTTGATTAAAACCTGACATTAGGTTTTGGCCGAGGGAAGAACCTCCAGAGCAGTGACCCGGAGTTCCACAGCAGTGAGAGAGAATCAGGAATTCAGTGTGCATGAAATTCTGGACAGTACCAAAAGGTACACTGCCATAGTGTCCCCTCACAGATGAAGCCTGGAATGCCTTCAACGAGACCCTTGACCTTCAAGGAAGGACAAGAGGGGTCAACCCCTCAAACACACAGTATGACCTGTGGGTGTCCAGGACCACTACCTTCTCAATGCATGAATGAATGTTTTTTATATATATAATCTTAAAAGCAATAAATGCCCACATGTCCACCATGGAAAGGGCACTCCCACACACCCTAACCCCCCACACACTTACCAGAAGCCCACTAGTCCCACTTGCAGGGGCGCCCCCAACCAGGGGCGGCGCTGTAGGGAGACAGAGACAACGGCATGGTGTGCGTCCCCTGCCTACCCGCCCCCTCCCCCTGGCACCCACCATGGCTCTATCCCATCAGTCCTACCTTCCAGCCTTGGTACATGGTCCTTTTCTTCCTCCCCAACCCATAGTGGGTCTGTACCTTTAAATCACCACCTTCCATGCCAGCCAGGCCCGTTTGCTGACACCCTCCCCAGTGTCCCCTTCCCCATTCTAGCCTCTCAGAACTGGATCCCCGGGCCCTCCCTGCCCCTCTTTCTCTTCTCCTACTCTATCCAGGAGCTGCCTTCTTCAGGAAGCCTCTGCTGACCCTCCACTTCCTCCCTCCCACCTCAGCGGCATGAATTTGTCCCTTCCCAGCACATCTCCCGCTCTGCACACCCTTCTCAGTTTGCTCCAGTCACAGGGACCCTGTTCTGCCACTCAGATGTGCACAGTCGGTGTTCAATAAACATTTGTGAATAAATGAGCCAGGGGATGCACCACAGCTTACACTCCTGGGTCTTGCTTCCCTGTCCTGTCCTGTATGCACGCAGAGGTGTGTCTCACTGCTGTTAACGGGTGACGACATGAGGGTGACAGTGAGCACGACTGCGATAGTCCATTCCTGGTGTGTGTCGGAGGCTCTGAGTGACACCAGTTTCCCCCCTTCCCTTATTTTCTCCTCCTGTTCCCTCAGTGTCCCTTCACTGTCCCTTCACTGCAGCTCAGTTCATTCTTCCTGAATGAATGGAGGTGGAGGTGGCAGCACAGGGGTGGGGCAAACAGGTGTCCAGACCTGAGTCTGGTCAGGCCAGAGAGGGGGTCAGGGACTGGTCACCTCTGCTCCCAGTCCCTACCACTTCCCAGTCTCTCTCCAGGACAGGAGAGGTGAGAGGGACCTACCTTCAGGAAGTCTTTCTTCTCCAAAGTGTCCATGATCACCGGGGGAATGGCTGAGGGGAGAGCAGGGCAGGGAGGGAGAGAGTAAGTAGAGTAAGTGGCAGGTGGGACCCTAAGGAAGGAGGTCTCCTTTCAGAGTTCGTCCCACTGCCTCCAGAGTCCCCAGAACCCCCTTTCTCTCAGAGCCCCCCGGGCCCCACCCAGCCACCCCTGCCTCACCCATGGCGGGAATTGCCATGCAGATTCTTGATATCACCACCTGGAAGATTCCCTGCTTGGCCGCGGTCACCGAGTGGCCAAGCCTCTGACCTGTCTCGTCAGTCACGGGGATTCCCACCTGCAGCTCCCTGATAAAGGAAGTGAGTCGGGGTCAGATCACAGGCCCCAAATCCCACCTGTACTGCCCTCAAGGGCAGCTACTCCCCAGGGGTCCTCTCAGGCATCCTAGGTTGAAAGGCCGGTTCTCTCACCCCAGATCCCAGCATCAGACTGGGACTGGGCCCAGCAGCTCATGCTCAGGGAGGGCGAGGACGGTCCCGACTCGGGCTGGTGTGCCCGCCAGGCATGCGCAGGCCAGGAGTCAGGGCTGCTTACCTCTGCCTCATCAGAGGGATGTTGATGCAGTTTGCAGCTGCCACGGCTGCAAAGGGCACGAATCTGCCGACCAGAGGGGGCAGGTGCTGGAGGAGGAAAGATTTCATTTAGTGGCCCCGAGGGCCGTGGGGTGGTGAGGACCTCTGGAAATAGATACATGAAGGCTGTAGGTTGGTGTGGAGGGGTGATGGGGAAGGAGGCAGATAAAGGATGACTGGCGATCCGTGGGCTGGGGGCGGCATTTACCTTAGTGAGGGATTTGAGTCCCAGGGCTGTAGCCACAGCTCCGGTGGTGGCACTCACGTAAGCTGTTCCCAGCTGCCTGTGGGTGGGGAAGCCAGGACACAAGCGGGGAGGTGAACAGTGCAGCACACGGTTTTTCTTTCAGGGACATGCCAAACTGTCAACCCAGGAGGCACAGGAGGGTGGCCTCACTGCAGAGGAACACCTCCGGTGCTCCAGTGCAGACTTGCCTGGAAGCCCAACCCCTCCCCTTGAAAAAGAGCAGCCCCCCAAAAACATGCACAAGAGGACCCCACACCCCCAGGCCAGGACAGTGGGGAGGAGGGCAGGCTGAGAGGAGGGCCTGGAACCCCTGGCTGCACGGTCCTCGGTGAGCAGCGTCAAACAGGAGAGAAGGCGCATTCTCACCCCACAGTAATGGGAGCATCGCCGCTGCGGTTGGAGTAGTTGACAACAGCGTTGAAGGACTGATTCACCCACTGCCAGAACACCACAGTTGGGGTCTTCCTGAGGGTACAAACATATTTACTTCTGTCCCCTCCACAGTGTTCCTCATCCTTGGACCCCAATAATGAAGCCTCAAAGGTTATTCCCAAGCCTTTAGGAGGGAGCCAGTTGATGACCCTAAATCCTGCTCTGGTGACCCCTGAGTGACCACCCCTTTATACCAGCACACCTACTGCCTCTGAGCTTGGAGGACCCCGAGGGTGAGTTCTCAGGAATGGAAGGGATTCTAACACAAGCTCTCGCCCACCCACCCATTTCTGCCCAGAGAGGAAGCACCTAGTCATCACGCTACACTCTAGCTTGGACAGAGTGGTCAGGGCAGGTGGGGGACACACAGGCAGGACCTGCCTGTAGAAGGTGAGCATGCAGCCGGTGATGGTCATGTTCATGGGCACCTGGGCTGACATGCGGCCGATCAGGACCACTTTCTCGCCCGTGTCTGGATGGAAGGCGGAGTCGTACACATACTTGGCCCTCCACAGTTGGTCTTCGGTGAGCCCTGGAGTCACCACGCCCGCCCTACAGAGGTTGGCAGGAAATAGGCAGGCCTGCTAGGGGGCAGGTGAGCCCTCCCAACCTGCCCGCCTGGCTCAGGAAAAGTCTGGGCAGAGGACCAGGCATTTTGGTCCCCAGTCTCGGAATAAAGGAGCTCCTGGTCTCTGGAGACAATCATATCTTCTGGGGGGTGAAGGTTCCTATTTCTATTTCCCTTCTAGCCACACAAAGAGGGGCATGCTTGTGTTTATGCCCCAATACTTTCCAATGGGTCAAAAATGGCTAGGTGTATTGCAAGGGTTTTCCTTCCCGGAGACAAAGCAGATGCCCTCCTACCTCCATTGCACTCAACTCTGAGCCCCCCTGTCCTTGCAGAGGGTGGCCCAGCAGTGGGACAGGTCCCCATAGGTAGTCTGTGAGGCATAAATATCAAGGCCATGTCTTTGATCCAAACACCCTACAACCTTTTAGGTTACAGTTCTGTGCCATAGCTTCTGTGATGCTAACACACAGGGCCAGGGAGCAAGGGGTGGGACAGGGGCACTCTCATGCTTGGGGAGACGGGCGCGAAGGATACCGCATTAATGGCAGGGCGTGAGGTCCTGGGGTACAGGGTGAGGTGGGGAAGTGGCATCACCTGTAGTTCTGCACAATGTTCCGGGAAGCTTCCAGCTGTGCCCCGGATAGCAGCAGATTTCGGGGGTCAGTAACAGTGAAGAAGTGCCGCGCTCTGCCGAGGAAAGTGCTTTGATCCCAGCGAGGTTCCTGGATGTTGATATCTAAGGGCAACTCACCCATTTTCTGCAGGGCAGGGACCAGGGTCAGAGGACTTCAAGGAAAGGGTCCAAAGCCTCCACCTGGGGAGACTTTGGTGGCCCTCCCTGCCCTGGTCCCTGGGCCTGTCTCCAATCCCTTCTAGCTCCAGGTGACTCCAGACAGGTAAGCAACGGGGGCGGGGGGGGGGAGCTGTTTTCTAGGCAACATCCTGGCCCAGGGACCTACCACCACTGGAGGAGGCTGGGGGTGCGGGAGGTGGGTGGGGACAGACCCAGGAAAACAGATCTCGTGCTTGGGCCTGGTGCAGATTTTCATGGGTGAGAATTTATATGTGTGTGGTTGATGTGTGAGCAGCAACCAATCCCATGCAGCTACTCTTGTGCTCTGCGTGCACAAAAATGCATGTTATATATGCCCTCCACATTTATGTTCATGTCGGCCTCAGGCCCCAGCTACCCTGGGACCTGGATACAAACTCCCAAGGCTGTTTTGGAAGGTGACGCAAGCCATCCCACACCACCGCCCCTGACCTAAGGAGAGCAGGAGCTCATTGGCCACCCCAGGGCTTGTCTATCTCAGATCTCAACTGGGCACTCTGATGCCAGCTGAGTGTGCATGTGCATGTGTTTCCAACCCACACTGAATGGCCCCAGGCTCTCCTAGTTCCCCAGCTGGGCAGGGCTGGTACAGAGAGCCATCCGCCTCTCCCCAGAGTCACCTGTCTCCAGAAAGGGGTGGGATTCTGTAAGTGCCCCTCCACCCGGCACAGAAAAGAAAGCTTGAAACAGCCATCTGGCTGCATTGGGCAAAATCCTGCAGAATGACTAATCCTCTTCCACCACACTTCCTCCCTCACAGACACCCTCCCCTCACACACACACACACACACACACACACACACACACACATCATACTCGCCCTACACAGACATACAAAGAGGGTGGGCACACCCTCCATGCACTGTCCCACAAAGCCCGTTACTTGCACGCACGCACACACTCCCCGCAGTCCGCATCCATCTGTTACAGACAGTTGAACGTGTAACCACACAGAGCCCCACCCTGAGATTTCCCCCCCAAAAACCTGTCCTCCTGCCCCAGGTAAAGACGAATATACCGAATCCGGAAAGGACGGAGACAGCAGCTGGTCTTCCTCTTCTGTCCCAGTCTTCGACCCCCTACTCGTCTGACCCCAGGACCCTTGCCCGAGCACTCACACTTTCCTGCGCTCTCGGCCTCTGCAGCCCTCGGACCCGCCCTACTCTCGGCGCGTCGCCCCCTCCTTCCCACCCACCACGTGTAACGTCAGTCGTGACGCTAACCATCGGGAGGGGGGACTCCCCCAGCGCGTCCGCTCGGCGTGCCTAGGGATTGGCAGAACCCGGGGCGGTGGGTATCATTTGGGGCGACGCCCCCAGCCCCGGCCACCCGGATTCCGCCCAACGCTACCTTCCAGAACCAATCCGGGCTCCGGATCGGTTCTGGCCCCGTCCTCCGGCAGAGAGAGTTGGGGAGGAGCCATGGGTGCTTGTAATCCCCTGGCTGGCCTCCGGAGGCTCCGGCCTAGGCAGCTAGAGCTCTAGGTGTCCAAGGCGAAGACTTGGAAGGGAGCTGGCGGGCGTCGTGGAGAGGCCATCCTCGGATGGTACGCCTGGAGGGGCTCGGGTTACCGTCCGACCTGTTTACTTGTCGGTTGCCTTGGCAGTGGCTTCTGCCTACGTGCCCGCCCCCCCCCCCCGCCCCCGGCCCGGCTCCTACCCCACTTCCCACACGCTCCTTCCTCGAAGCACCTTGGCTTTCACACCCCTGCACAGTCCCGTTCCGCTCGCGCCAGTGCCTCTTCTCTGTCCCTCGTCCTTTCCTTCTCCCCAGTCCCGTCCTTACTCCCCTCTGTAATCGCTAGCTCCACCGAGTCCACAGTTTCCTTGCGTCCCCAGTCCCTACCCCTGCACCACAGACCTTAGCTCTGGAATGTGAAGCGGCAGAAGTCTCAAGGTTCTCTCTGCATCAAGCAAGCGGGTCAGAAAGATTCTTCCTCCCCGTAGTGTCCTGGAACAAGCTTCCGGTCCCTGTGACCTTTCTATAAATGGGTGGCCAAAGAGACACTTGCTGACATGAACGGAGGATGCATGTGAAGAAGGCAGAGCGCGCACACACACACACACACACACAGAGTCACAGTACCAAGCAGGTCCGCTCCTGCCCAATGCAGGCTCACGCCCCGCTCTGCCCAGGTGACAGCCCTCACTAAGGCTGCGTGGAGGACCGCGGAGGGGTGGCAATTCCACGAGCCTCAGTACCTGGCTTGGCCTGGAGAAGACAGAGTTCTGGGCTCCCCCGAGCTGAACCGGTAGTGGGAGGAGGGCAAGCCAAGACCCACGCCCCAAATCTCGCTCGGGGAAGGCATTCGACCTCGAGCTGCAGTGAGAAGAACCCAGCGGCCCCAGCCCAGGTGACAAACGACTGTCTTGAGTGTCTAAGGAAGGTGGCGGAAGGGAGTGACTGGCGGCTCCCTCAGCCAATAGGAGCGCGGGGCTGCTGGGGCCAGCCCTGCTGCAGCCGCCTCCGCGAGGCGTGGGCGGGCCCCCCTGCTGCAGTCGCTGGCGCTTGCGGGCGGGCGAGCCCGCGGCTGCAGCGCGCACCAGCAGGTGAGGGGAGCTGGGGGTGCCGGAGGACCGAGGGGGTGGTGTGCTGGGGTCTGCTCTGGGGGACTTGGCCCCGGGTTTGCGCGGGATGTTGTGGGGTTCTCGCCATCAGATCCTGCCGCAAGCCTGGGCAAGGTTCACGCAACCCCCGTAGACGGGAGAAGAGGGGGGCCGGAGAAGGGATCTGGGGTGGGGAGGAATCTGGGGTCCAGGGAATCTTCAGTCCTTGGCTGCAGCTGTCCCAGGTCCTGAAGGGACCTGTCCCCCGAGGTCTGAGCATCAATCACTGGTCCCCCGTCCCCCTTGCACTGGAGGGGTGTGCAAGTGAACTGTCCTGGTCCCAGTTTCTCTCACACAACCTGAAGCCCAGGGTCTGCAATAATCCTATCTGCTCCACTCTTTCAGCCTCTAACGAGGGCTGGGGACCGAGTAGATGACTCAGCTGAGAGCAGGAATGAGATGAAGGAGAGCTTCCCACCCGCCTTGTGTGAATGGCTCCGAAGTCCATGATGGTGCCTGGACCGGACGCTTCTCTTGCCAGGGGTGGGAGAGAGAGGGGCCTAAGACATGAGAGAGCAGGATGCTCAAACCAGGGGAAGGGGTGGAAATTCTGGGAGGCAGCATTCACACGCACCTCACGTACCCCCCTCTTCTTGAACAGGCCTGGAGTGCACACCAGAGAGGCACTGGAGGTGGGGGCTCCCGTCCACTGGGACCCCAGTCGTGCCCAGAAGTCTCATGGTGCCCATAGCACGCAGGGCCCTCCTCTCAAGGGCTAGCAGGTTCCTCCCGGCCCTCTAGTCTAGCCGCGATGGCGCGCGGTTTTTCAGTGGGTTTCGACCCGCTGGGCCTTGGAGACCTAAGCTCCAGCTCTCTGAGCTCCCTCTCCTCCCGAGGCCACCTGGGCAGCGACTCAGGCTCCGCAACGCGATACCTGCTGAGGAAGCAACAGCGGCTGCTGAACGGGCCCCCGCGCGGAATCCGAGCCTCGTCGCCCATGGGCCGTGTCATCCTCATCAACTCCCCCATCGAAGGTGGGGGCGGGGCCCAGCCGGCGCCGTGACGTGATGGAGGGTGGGGGGAGAGGGCAGCGTCGCTAAGGAGAAAGAGGCAGAGCCCCATGTGGGTGGGGAGACTCAAGACATGCCAGTCTTAAAGATGCGGGGGCGTCTGGCAACCCGTACAGCTCCTCATCTACTTTCGTTCTCCTTCGGGCCATTCCTTCAGGGCTCCAAGATTGCAGCGAGGTCAGAGGTGGGAGACAGGGCATGGCCACGGGAAAAGCATTGTGTGTGTGCCTGTGCCTGTGTCTGTGCGTGTGTGCGTGGTATGTGAGCCCCCCAGTGAGGCAGGGTATTGGCCCCTCCATTTCATGGACTCCACCTCTTTCCGAATCCTTTTGTGTGTGCCTTTGGGGCGTGTGCAAGACAGCGGGCATCCTCCATCAACCAGCCCACTGCGTGACCAGCTCTGTGTTGAGCTGTGAGGAGCCAGTGCCCACATGGGCAGGCAGAGTGAAAGGCTTCACATGCGAAAGGAAGGAAATGAAGCTAGAGTAGCAGATGTTTAGAAGAGTGGGGAGAAAAGAAATGGGGAGGGTCAAGGAGGGAGCCCCAGGCCAGGGCGGATGGGCTAGTGAAGCTCGTAGATGCTTAATGCCATTTCATTGCACACAGACTGTACCAGCCCTAGGTAGATACTGCAGGGAATCTAGAGAGAAATAGGGCTCAATTTTCACTTTGAGAAGTTTACAGGGCAACAGGGCTTGGAGACATCAGTGAGAGCAGCTGGTGATGGAGCAGCGGTATGACAGACAAAGGATGCAAGTGAAAAGCATGGAGCACAATGGGGCAGGCACTTAAGAGACAGCCTGCCTGCAGTGACAGGTGTGAGGCAACAGAGAGCAGACGAGCAAAGCAGGACCTTGAATGGCAGCCAGGGAGCACGGAGCCCCAGCACCTGCGCTTCCAGTGGACAGGACCAGATAAACATCTCCAGCTCCCCTCCCCTCTATCAGCCTGCAGAATGCGCTGGCTGAGTCCCAGACCAGACTCTTCAGACCCTGCCCCTCCCCCTGGCCCAGCTGGGCATCCCTGGGGCAGGGGTGGAGCATGTTGCTCAGAGATCAGGCTTGAACTAGTGGTCCAGCAACTTGCCCCCATCATCCACACAGGGTGAGCAGCAGGGCACTGTTGAGGGTCGTTACTGTCATTCTGGTCATGAAGCAGAAGTCCCCAGAGGAGCTACGAGGCATGGAGGGGGAGGGAGCACTGTAAAACTGCCCTTGTGAGTCCTATTATATTAAAAGGACCATACTGTACCTCTCACACACCACATACACGCCCCTACACGCCGGACACGCTGTGCCCAAGGGGCTTTGCCCTGACCTGCTGGCCCTAAGTCTGTCTGGGCTGGGAGCCTCTGAACTCAAAATCTTCCCTTCTGCCTGAGCACAAATATCTCCCAACTCACTGCAGCCTAGAACTCCTCCCCCATGTTATTAATTAGGCCACTTCAGGGCCTAAAGTAACTGGTAAGGGAGACACAGTGGGAAAGGGTCACTGCCACTCACCTCATCCCCATGAAGTGCCACCAGCTGCTCAAACACAGCAGGTCCCAGAGGAATTGCATTATCTTTCATTCAGACCAGCCCCTTCTCCTCTCTCTGCTAGCTCATTCATTTATCCATCCATCCATCCATCCATCCATCCTTTCATTTAATCAAGAACTGCTTAGCGAATACCAGGTGCCGAGCAGCATGCGGGGGGCCCGTTGGTGGAGGGCTGTGAAGTCCCTACCGGGCTGAGCTTGCAGTCTAGTGAAAGGGGACAGAAGACGTATAATAGTCTACAAATGATGAGAAAGGAGGTAAGAATCTTGAAGGCACTAATCCAGATGATATGATAGGGTAGCGTTTCTCAAACTTTGGAATTGCCGGGGGGCGGGGGCTTGTTAAAGGACAGACAGTTGGGTCCTACACCCAGAGCTTCTGATTCTGTGAGTGTGAGGTAAAGGCAGAGAATTCGTATTTTTAGTAAGTTCCCAGGCACTGCTGCTGGTGCTGCTGGTCTAGGGTGTGCCTTGAGGAGCCCTAGGAAGGAGGCTCTCTGGGAGGAGGGGGAGACTTCCTTAGGGAGGGGACTCCAGCTTCCTGAAGAAGGTGGCATCTGAGTCAGCAGGGTCTGAGGCGGGGGAGCTGGCTTTGAAGGTCTGGGCAGGAGTATCTCAGGGGGGACACTGAAAAGATTGGCTCGAAGAGAAACAGGGAGGAGGTCGTGTGGCCAAAACCCCGGGAGGCCAGGGAAGGAGGCCAGCGGTGAGGGGAGAGTGCTAGGCAGAGAGGAAAGCCCAGGGAGGGAGAGGTGTGGGATTCCTTCTAGAAGGAGGGGCAGGCATTGAAAATTTTAATCAAGGGAAAGACACAATCTCTTATAAAAGCTGACTCTGGCCACTGTGTCGAGAATGGATTAAAGGAGACAGGAGCAGAAGTGGGGGAAAGAGAGGAGGCTGCATAGCGCCTGGAAGGAGAGGTTGACGACCTGGTCTAGGACAGTGGAGGGAGAGAAGGTTCCCACCTCAGATGCCCTAAGCTCTTAGGCTCAAATCCCCAAATCTGGCCAGGGGCCCTAGGGACACCCCGGGATGGGCTGAGGAGTAAGGGCGGTGAGGAGTGGCAGAGCAAAAGGCTCTTTGGGACACACCTGGGATGTAAAGGTCCCCAAACCTGCGGGCAGTCAGCAAGGAAGCCCCAGGATCTCCACGTCTCTGCTACGCACCACCCCTGCCACGGCTGCCCGTGGGGGTTCCTTCCTGAGCTGTCCCGGTCATGCACTGTGACCTGGCTTCCTCCTCGGATCAAACAGAAGTGTGTGTGTGAGTGCGCATGTGTGTGCGTGCGTGCGTGCGTGCGTGTGTGTGTGTGTGTGTGTGTGTGGAGAGACAGAGAGAGAAGGAAGTCTTACCACTTTTCTCCAACCAAAAGGTCTCCCCACCTCTGAGTCTTCCCTCCCTCCATTCCTTGGCCAGTGCCTCCCCTTTCCCCCCACCCGTCCAAATTCCACCCATCTTCGTCCTCCGAGAAACCTCCCCCCAGCAACTCCAGCACCCAGGGACCCTCCTCCCCTGGCTGTCGCTAGCACAGATGGAGAGCACCGTTCTGGGCTCCGCGCACCTGCTGTGACAGCGTGTTGTTTGAGCTTTCTTACAGTCAGGTAGCTCTTGGAGCCCTTACCTCTGAAATCTCGGAGTTTAAGAGCTAGAAACGCCTCTGGGATCCTCCCACAACCACCCAGACAGGGGTTTACCGAGGGTCAGCTTGTATGCCTCCAAAAGTGAGGAACCCACTCTTCCTCCTGGAAAACTCATTCCGTTGCCAGAGATGAAAGTTTTAGCAAGTGTGCCCTTGCTCAGTGGGCCCCCATCTAACTCCACTGCTTGGGCTTTGTTCTGCCCTCTGGGTTGCATAGCCACATACCTCTGACAGCTTCCACAGAACAGCTCTTCGGGGGGTTGAAGATAGAGCTAACACACTCATTCCCGCTGAGGAGCGTGGATTCCCTCAGCTGTGCCCCGTGGAACGGGTTCCTGAACCTCTTTCCTATCCATCTGGCCCTCAGAGCACCAAGAGTTTCAGGTGTTTGGCTTATCCCAGGCCAATGGGCACGGGAAGCTTACTAAGCACTAGACACACACACACATGCATGCATGCACATACACTTATATTATGAGTGAAAGAGAACAATGCCTTCCCACACGGAGCTCGGTCCGATCCGTTCTGAGACTAGCCCATAGTCTCAGAATCGCCTGGAAGAAACTCAGAAATTGGCTGCCCCGA